GGTTCGATTCCCGGTGGTGCCCGAATTTATAACTTGTGTTGGGCAAGGCCTTGGTCTAGGCAACACGGAGTTTTCCTTCGTGGCATCCCAACAATTACTCCATTCACACACAGAAGCAGGCAATGGCAAACCACTTCTGGATCATCTGCCAAGAACGTATATGAACAGGTCCCAGTCCGAGAAAAGGATGGAAGGATCCTGTTCATATGGACCTGTCGTCAGACACAACACTATATATATATATATATATATAAAGTACGTAAAATCTGTTTATGTAGTTTATTCCTGTCCAATTATTTGTTCAGTATGCACAGACATTCGGTGTGCAGTTAGACTATCCGATCTCCGGTATAATTATGTGTTGTCTGTAATGTAATACTTTCAGTATTGGATGACAATAAATAAAAGTCTTCGTATCTACACACTGAATTCTTTGCGCCCTCTGTAATATGATAACAGTATGTTTTCAATACTCGATAATGTCAATAAATTAGAACCATAGTCTATACGTTGATATGCGCAGCTGGAAAGCTGAATTCGTGTATATTAAAATTAAAAGGACCCAAACTTTAAATCTGGCACCAGGCCAAGCGTACAAACACATACGATGAAAGATGGCTCTCTTCTTGATTGCAGCTACGTTTAACGACGTTTCAAAGGCTGTAAGCTCCAACCCAGAAGACAGCCATCTTCATGTTCCTCTCTGCAAAGGACAAGAAACCTGAAATACTACACATTCGATGGAAGAGTTTAAGACTTCAAGTCTTCAGCTTACCTTAGAGGCACATCAATGCGAACTCTGTCAATGGCACCTCGTCCAAGTTTACCACGATCACGCATTTCTGTAAAAGAAAAAGTCTTTTAAAATCAAAACAGGCTTTAAGCTTAAACACAGAAATGACCATCCTTCATTCTGATCTAAACTATTAGTTGTCAAAGTGTTAATTGTCCTAAGTACGAACAATCAAAGAGAAGTACTGGAAAGAACATTGCACCGAATTCACTCAGAAGATGTCAAATTGTTTCATGTATTCCATGCATTTTACCGACACGAGGAACCCGATGAAATGAAATATTTAATAACTGCTGTTCAGCGCTTCAGACCATACGTAATGCGACATACGCGTGGAACGAGTATAAACGTGTCTTGATTTTCAGGTGCAAATTATTATTATAATGTAAGACTTGAGGTTCTCACAGCGGTGAGTATGAAGATTTCTGTCTTCTGGGTTGTTGCGCTGTGTAGTTTGGTAGATGTTTACCAACGTTTCGGAGGTCATACTGCCTCCATCATCAGGGCGATGAAGATTTCTGTGTTCTGGATTATTGCACTGTGTAGAATGGTCGATGTTAACCAACGTTTCAGAGGTCATACTGCCTCCGTCATCAGGGCGATGAGTCTGAAGATTTCTGTCTTCTGGGTTGTTGCGCTGTGTAGTTTGGTAGATGTTTACCAACGTTTCAGAGGTCATACTGCCTCCATCATCAGGGCGATGA